TATTTGTAAATTTGAGAGAGGAATAAGGGTAATTTAGGAAGTATGATGTTACAAATTTTCCTTTTTAATTTTTCTTTTATTTTTTCCTCCAAAAATAAGTTACATGTTAGTAGGCGTAAGAGAGAAAGGGGCAGCTCACTCGTGGATCCCACCAAATTCAAATCACCGTTAGTTTTAGACGGATTCTGTCAGGTAAGGGGGTGCCACCGTCGAAGAGTTTAGGGGGTTGCATGCTTCTGATTTATGTTGAGGGGCTAATATGCTACTGGACGGCAAGTTTAGGGGCCTTTTTTTTTGCATATTGATTCGCCCTGCCTGAATGTAAAGATAAAAATAGTGGAATCTTTTGGAGAATCATATATTTTAGTTTTACCAGGTATGTGCATATATTGAACATTTTAATTTTCTAGTTTTAGTTTGCCAGAGAGTTTCCATCTCCACAAAGATGAAACTAGTGGATCTTTAGGTTAATCATTATAACCTGATCATCTCAGAATACCATTTTAATTTCTTTTGGTGCATTGTGTAATTAATTACTTATCTAAGTACAATACATACTGTGGTATATACTAGAGTTAATTTTATAAAGATCAGATCGATGCAGGACTCTTTTTTTTCCTTTTATGATGGTTAGGGGTTGTCTCAAATCTCAACATTACCATTTCCTTTAACCAAATTTTATCTATTTCCAGTTGTCAGTGCCTTCTTGTACACAGAGATCAAAGATGGAAGCATTGGAAAGTTGTTTACCGGAATATTGAAACAAGTGTCGAACAAATGGCAGCTCCAAGTAATGGTGTTATCAAGCCTACTTCTCCAGTTTGCTCTTGTTTTGTTTGGAAATCGTAGGAAATTCCAAGGCACATATTCTCATTATGTTACCATGATTGTTTGGTCGACATACCTAATGGCTGATTGGGTAGCCACAGTTGCCTTAAGCACCCTTCTCAAGGCGGAAAAGAAAGATCTGAATTGTGTCCTGGTTTTGTTTTGGATGCCATTCCTGTTGTTGCACCTCGGTGGCCCGGATACCATTAGTGCCTACTCCTTAGCAGACAACGACCTCTGGTTACGGTATTTGCTTGGCCTCATCATCCAGGTTGGAGTGGCTGTTTTTGTTTTCATTAGGTTTGGAACCAATTGCACTCTCCCTCATTCTCATGGAACCAATTGCAATACTCACACTTATACTCATGGAACCAATTGCAATACTCACACTTATACTTATCTGGCCATTCCTATATTCGTTACCGGAGTTGTCAAGTATGTAGAAAGGATTTGGATTCTCAGGGCCGCAAGTAGGAAGCAACTTACCAATTCCATTTTTCCCACTGCAGATCAAGCATCAGGTCAGACTACGGGTCAATCAACTCCTAGTGATCTGAAAACACTGGAGGAGTATTTATGTAGCAAAAATGCTGTTGAAGAAGGCAGATTTATTTACAAAGCATTTTGCATGTTTAAGATGTCCATACCACTCTTTCAAGACCTCAAGCTCAAAATTCCCAAAGATTTGAGTAAAATCTTCATACTATCCACCGAATCTGCGGATGATGCCTTCAGAGTGGTAGAGGTTGAACTGGGATTCTTGTATGATGTGCTTTACACCAAGAAAACTTCAGGGCCACAACCTATGGTGGGTATAATCCTTCATATCATCTGCTTCTTATCAATGTTTACAACACTAATTGTCTTCTCGATCGTAGTTGGTAAGAGTATCCACCCGAAAGTTGACACAGCCATAACCTACTTGCTGTTTATTGGAGCAATCTTACTCAACATTTACTCGACCATCTCAAAAGCTTGCTCCAACTGGTCAATGTTCTGGTTAACCATTCACGGCGACTGGTTGTCTAAGTTTCTTGGCAAAGGTATTGTTTCCTGGTACCTACAAATGAATCTGGCAAGGAAGAAGCAAGGAATAGCATACATGGCCCAATACAGTTTGATGAGCAATTGTCTCCAGACCAAGGGATCCAAATGGAGGAAGATTGTGAGAATTTTTGACACTGAAGACATTTTAGGGAAGCTTGTGCTGACTACTTGGAAAAAAGTGGAGCATGATGTGAGGAACTTCATCTACCTTCATCTTGTAAGGAAACGAAGCAAATATCGTCATGGCGGGTTTCAATATAAGGATCTCTCAAATTTATTGAGCAAGAAAGGAGATGGAGTGCTTCAAATGCATAACCTCTTGGATAAATTTTGTTGGAGCATCATTGGATTAGAATTTGAGCACTGCCTACTTATATGGCATATAGCTACAGATGTTCTCTTTTACACTGATCTTAGAAGATATTCTGCTGCAGAGCTTGGTTCACATTGCACAATTAGCAAGCATTTATCTGATTATATGATGTACCTCCTCTTGGTGCGTCCGAATATGCTTCCTAAAGGGATCGGCGAACTGAGGATCAAAGAAACTCAAAATGAGGTGATGTGTTTTGAAAATATTGTATCATTAAGTAGAAGTGAAGTCGCAAATTATTTGCTTGATCGCGACTTTACATTAGAAATTTCGTCGCCTCAGAGTCCTTACAAGTCCAAATCAGTGATAGCTGAAGGGTGTCAGTTGGCGGCGACGTTGCGCTCATTGGTTGAGGAGTCGCTGTGGGATCACAGTGAAAAATGGGAGTTCATAGCTGATGTGTGGATGGAGATAATGGCATTTGCTGCTAGCAGATGTGAATGGAGAGAGCATAAAACACAGCTCAGGCATGGTGGGGAATTGCTCACTCACGTAGCCCTCCTCATGGCGCATTTTGGCTTGACTGAACGTGTCGAAATAAGGGACTTGACTGAAGAAGAAAAATCCAAGTTACATCAATTTGATACTACCCGTCTTGGCTGGGATTGGAATCGATTTTCTCACTTGCCTTATTACTTAGCATAAATTCTTAATTTGTCAGGGATACAATAAGTTACCGTGAAGTTTGTGGATATGCTTTGAACATGTGATTGTGTGAACATTGGTACTCTCCTTAATAAAGTTGTTTGTGTCGATAAAAGAAATGGTTTAATGCTAAATTTGCTCCCATAACTTTGTCCTGATGCACAATTTTGGGCCTCAGATAATTTTCTGCATCTTTTTTTTTTTATCTCTCGACTTGATAAAGTAGTTTTATGGGTCCCTGAGCAAGTTGTTAAACTTTTTTGATGCATAAACTTGATGAGGTATCCATCAAAAGAAAAAAAAATGGATAAAGTGTACTATTTTTTGTTTTTCTATCAACGAAAATCCATGTGCTATGTTAAGTTGATTAAAAAATCAATATTTTTCAAACGTTTATGTTAAAAAAATTTTGTGGGCTGCTGCCGCTAATTGTTTTTTTTTTTTTTTGTTTAAGCAAAATAGGTTAAATAGAAAGTCAATAAAGCTCAATAAATTTGTGTGACACAAATGGATTTAGATTTTATTTTAGATTTATATAGTATGGTATAAATATGTGTAAAGTTTAAAATTAAAAATGTGTTCTTGATGAAAATGCCCAAAACACTATAAGTTCCCTCTTTTATATAAAAAACTCTAACTCTCTATAAATAATGGAGTTAGGAAGCAGTATACTCCATCAATTTTTCCCATACAAAAGTTGAATAAAAAGAAAAAGATCTCTAATAATAACATGTTTGAATTGAAGGAAATAAAAAAAAAATTTTAACTAATTAAATTATAATATTTAAGAATATTATAATTTGATTAATTAAAAAATCCCTCTCTTTTCCGTTTCCCTAAACTCATACATCCTATAAGTCTCAATATGTCTCAATATGAAAGCCATGGAAGAGAAACAGTGGCTCTGAGTTTAGACAAAAGATACTAGACTAATTATAAAACTCATAATACTGAATGGGCATTGGTCATGGTTTTAAAATGTTTTGTTTTTCTCAACTCTCAGGCTGGTAACTATTAATATTTGTTAATAAAATTTTATCTTTTATAAAAAAAATATTATTTATAATATTTAATTTGATTAAGTTTATTATAAACCTTCAACATCCACTGTGGTAGAGAACCATGGAGTCGGTGTGTATCATCTCCAGTATCACTGTCAAGGGGAACACTACGTAGATTTATGTTCTCTTCACCTCCTTTTGAAAATATGCTGCCTCTGACAGAAAGCGACAGCGTTACAGCATCCAATTTGAACCTCTGTACTATCTTCCTGAAAATCTCATTTGCAGCAACAGAAAATCCATAAATTACATATATCAAAACAAACGCAATGGGACCCCCAACACTCACCTTGCTACTTATCAATATCATCAAAGGCGACGTGAGAGCAAAACGGAAAAAACGTGAAGCATCTTTTATCAATCTGAACACCCTTTTCTGCCACAAAGAGGGACACAGGTGCCACAAGAAGTAAAAAAATACTGTTATAACTTTGGTAACTTTGGTATTTTAATAAAAAAATAAAAAATAAAATATTTTATTTTATAAATTAAATTTATTATCTTATTAAATATTTGATTAAACTAACCATTATAATTAATTATTTTATTTAAAAGCATATAATTTCTTAATAATTGTTTAGTTTATTCTTATAGTTAACTTATAGATAAAGGTTATAAGATTAATTAAGAACCGTATAAATAGGACTTGCTATTTTACTAAATTTATATTCCTCTACATTTTCTACTTTCTTATGCTATTCTATTTTTTAAAATATTTTTGAATAACTTAACAACAATATCTATCTTGAAAAGTGATTTTATTAATAATGTAAATTTATAAAGTATTATTGTTAAGTTATAGTATCCCAAATTTCGTGATACACCAATAAATCAACTCTCCACATAGGCATATATTGCCTTAAAATAACTTTTATCTCAATGAAGATAAGTAACCAAAAATCTTAACGCTTCACTTCATTATCTCTCTCTTGTGTACTTATCCTTTCATGATCATAAGCTTCGATATGTTTTTACTTTTGGGGGTAGATCTTATTTGGCTTGTATTTTTTTTTTATCAGCTTAATTGGCTTGTATTTTAAGTTTTCTATGATCTCATTCTTCCACTCCATGCATCTATTCATTCCTTTAAGGCCAATTTATGTATCTAATTCTATGCCTAGTCTTCCCAAAAAGCAATTCTATCTAAACAACATTAATTGGTATATATTTTTGTTTAATATATTACACAATATATTTATTAAAAAATTATTATTTTACAATTTGAAATTAAAAGTAAATAAATTTAAAGATGCTAATAAACTTAAATATATAGGCATACATATAAATACAAGAATCAATTAAATCAACTATATTTATATTATTTTTTTAATAATTGAACCAAATAAATATAAAAAAGTATATCAAACTGAGTGTATACAAATCATTTCTCATCCTATCTCTAATTCATTCTACATAATTTCTTTATCTTGTATGTGGAAAAGAGTTATACTCTTCTGCTTTATTATCACCATATTTACCAATTACTTAGGCATTGCTTTACGACAATGTGGGCACCGTGTTCCTTCAGTAAGCATCCTGCAGACAACTAAACCGTTTTAATTTTTTTTGAAAAAAAAAGAAAAAACGATGTTCAAAACTTCTTTTGTATCTATAATTATATTCTTTTTGTTTTTTTTTTTTTTGGATATCTATAATTATATTCTTACCTGGGATTTTCATGCTTTAACACAATTTTCATGTTTTAATTGTTCCTAAATGAGACTAAAAAATGTGGAAACTTTGATGCTAGATTATCTGTGAAAGAGGAGCAGGGGAATTTTTACTTTAATTAGCTTAAAGTGTTGCACGCAGGTGTTGGGACTTGAAGACCAAGTATCCACCCGCGTGTTTTCCGTGATTCTCTTTTGTAATATTTGACAAGGAGGACATCAACTTATAAACATATTAAATTGATAGAGGATCATGTGATCTCTCCAACTTTGTTAAACTGCATAAGTCATCAGCAATGCTGGTCACAAGTAAGTGTTTCTTGCATTATCATCATATCCTTGTTAACTACATTCTTTAATTTTATACATTAATCAATATGTTCCTGCATCACATAATTAATTTGGCTTCACCACTATAGCTAATTTTATATAAGTGATAGATGAAAGCCAATTTCTCTTTCTCTATTTCTTTTCTTGTTTTGCATTCAGGATTTTTTATCACGACTATTACGTAAATTTAAGATTTATTATGATTTTTTAGATAAAAAATATAGTTATTTTTAATAAATGTAAATAAATCTCAATTATTAAAAGTGAATAGATAAATAGTTGAGATTTTGTGTAAATGATGTGTAAAACATGTATATAAATGAATCTTTACTATATATGCATATATGAGAAAAGGAAAAATTAAGATATATTGATATTAAAAATGTTAGAATATCTAATTACAACTATTAAATATATAAGACATAGTTTGAACTCTAATTTTATCAAGTTTATCACGTAGTTATTATTAAATATCTTAGCATTAAAAACGTCAAAATGTCCTAATTTTTCCTCTTTTTTTCTATATATACATAGAGAGAGGAGGAATCCATTCACACATAAATTTTACACACCACACTTACAAAAAAAAAAAATCTTTACTAATCTCTCTACTTTCAATTGTTAAAATTTGTCACAACTTTTTAAGTAAAAAAATAATTATCTTTAATAAATATGATAAAAAGTGAATAAATCTCAATCGTTAAAAGTAAAAAGATAAATGGTTGAGATTTTATGTAAATACATTATGTAAAATTTGTATATAAGTAATCACTACTCATATATATATATATATGAGAAAAGTACATATTAGTTTCAACTTTTTAAAAAAAATTAGAGTTCTAATCTTAAACAGCATCGTTTCATTTAATTAAAATTCAAAAATTTATTTTATTAAATAATAATACATGGTCGATAAAAAAAAATAAGATAGATTTTTAATTTTTAAATTAAATTTTAATTAAATGAAACATTATCATTTAAGATCGAAACTCTAATTTTTTTTGGAGGTCAAGACTAGCTAATATATACTAACTTTATATATATATATATATAACAACGCAGATCAGTCCCGACTCTCATAAAAAAATTAGAGTCTCACCTTCAAAAACACCACCTCAAATGAATTTTCAAAAAGCAACAGTTAGAGTTAATGTTTTAGTAATATAGACCATTCATACTAATGTTTCTAGTTGATGTAATATCTATTATCCATTTGATAAAAAAAAACTTGTATTTTCTACCATATATTAATGATGGTAAATTTTATATGATTAATAAACTAATTAGATATATTGAATTAATATAGATATTGTTATGCAATCTATATAAACAGAACACTAAATCTAATTATTGATTTTTAGAAATATTTCGTTGGAATGTGGTGTTTTTAAAATTGATACTTCAATTTTGATGGGAATTAAGACCAATATGTAGCATATATATAAGAGTATGATGTTTTATCGTCTAAACAATAAAATAAGAATCCTTAATTACATGGAAAAAAGTCTTAATATCATATATCTCTTCCCCATTTTTTTTTATTTTTGAACAAGTTGGTAAGGGTGGGTTTCGAACCCACCATGGGGATGGGGGAAATACACCTGCAAAGCAATCCGAAAGCCACTTGACCTGAAGAATCTGGTGCTATCTCTTTCCCATTTAAAAAATAATATTTTATAATTTAAAATAATTTAAACCGTGAAATACCTTTTAGTATATATAATACTTTTTTAATTATTTTTTGGGCCGATACGTGGATATGGGGAAACTTGAACTTGAGATGTGGACTGCTGATCATTACCTCATAGGCTAAAGATAAGCTATTATATATATTCCTTTATAGACTAGTAAATTAGGTGGCGGATAAAGATATATACTGAAATTATTAGACGAGGAGT